AGATACGTGTCATGTGTAATGAAGTAACAGATAATATGTGTGGCAAATATTTTCGAGGCTAAATTTTGAAAAGGTTAGTAAGATGCAGTAGGATGTTTTGATTGGATATGTGTCACGTGTAAAGAAGTAACAGATAATATTCAAATAAGTGTAAGAAAACCTTCTGGATGTTAAAGTATGTAAAGGTTAGTGAGGCACCGCAGGATATTTCGAATAATTTTTCATTAAAGTATGTCTCGTGTGTATTTTGTATATATATATTGATTTTTATGTATTCGAAAGAGATAAGATAGATTCAAGAATAATGGATCTGTAAAAAAATGGTGATGTAATGTCGTTTTCTAGACGTGTGTTAATAGCTGGCAATGTTGTTTTGAATATATTTTCATAATATTTTCTTTAAAGAATTATGTTCTTTTTTGTAAGTCTGGCATTGGTGAAATTAAAGTTTATGTCCTACGTTGTTGCGGTGTAATACGAGAGAATTTGAATGTTTATCTAAACGCAAATCTCTTTTGTGTTCCCTGATGCCGGTCTTTAGATCACGTGAAGTCTCCCCAATGTACATGTTATTGCACTGTAGACATTTGATCTGATAAAATCCAGTATTTGAATTATTATTTATTTTATTTTTCGTCCTGAATATATCTCCGATAGTTTTGGAGGTGGTTGTAACAATCCTCGTATTAGGATGACTAATTCATTTGCGAATTTAGTCGAATTTTTTGGAGGGTAAGATTATGAATTTTGTATAATTTTTGTTCGAAGTATTTGTTTGTTTGGTTTTATGGATTTTAAGCGCTTGTTTTTTGTGTTTAAGATGAAATGGTATGGGTAGAGTTGAAGTTCGAGTGAGTTCTCAATATAATCCTTTTCTTCACTAATCTATTCAGGGACATATATCCTAAGAGATCTAAGGAAAATCCTATAATTATTCCAGATTTTATTTTCCGGTTGTGGTGGGAATAGAAATCGATAAGGTCATTATTGTTAGTGGGTTTGCGGTAAACCTTAAATTTTAATTTATTATTGTTACGTATTAATAGGATACCGAGGAAAGTTAAAGAATTATTTGTTTTAAATTCGTGTATAAATTCGATGGTTGATTCAACCTTATCGGGTTTAGCTATTACGTTTAAAAGGTTAGTATCTTGGGATAAAATAAGTGGACCTCATCAATATATCTTAGGTAAGTAGAGCTGTTAGGTATGATATGTTTAAATGTGATGGATTATAAGACTTCAAGAAAGAGGCAAGCGAGAATAGCACTGATAGGAGACCCCATGGGTAAACCGAATTTGTGTTTGTAGAATGTATTATTAAAAGAAAAGAAACAGTGGTTAGTAATTAATTTACATATCTTTATAATTCTGTGGACGGGTAGAGGAAGCTTATCCTTGGATTTATTGAGGTGATTTCTTATTATATTGAGGCATTTCGTGATGCGTATATTGGTGTGTAGTTATTTGATGTCTAAACTAACCATATACATTTTAGTCATATTTATGTGTTGTATTTTTTGTAGTAAATCACCCAAATGTTTGATGTGTGTTGTACTGATGGTACCTAGGAATGGTATTGGGATTTTAGTGATGTCTCTAGCTAAATTGTGGGGTGCACTGTTAATTCTGGATACAATGGGCCTAATGGGTATGTCGGGTTTGTGTGTCTTGAGTAAGACATATAATGTGAGGATTGTTGGGGGGTAATCTATTAATCTAGACCAAGATTTGTTTTTATATTTTATAGTTTCTTGATAGTTTTGTTGAATCTATATGTTTCAGTGTTTATGGTAAGTTCATTGGTTTTAATGTAGGTATTGTCGTTATTTAGGGGTGGGGTTATTGTAATTTTTCAATGTAGACGTTGGTGTCCATAATAACTTGTTATAGTGGAACACATCTATTCTATAGTTAATAGACTCTCACACCTATAATAAGTAGTAGTAAGAGTAACGTGGGAGTCAGTTCGGTCAGTCGAGTTCGGACGAACTAAAGTATCAGCGACCACAACTAGATTACTCTGCGTTATACCTATTATATCCTAACGTTTTGTACGTCGAACCTATTTTAGGACCGACTTAGTACAAATACACGCCTCCACTGTGTAACCACTCCATAACATAACTATAGCAACCTCCTTTGTCAGAGGGGGTTATAGTAATGTTTTTTTTTGTTCATGGACAAGTTTTTTAGTGCTTTTATATATCTCCTGGGTCGTGTAGTTTCGATTGTATTTGTGATGGAGGCTGCTAATATGCCATGTATGAAACCTGTTTCATAATTAGTGTGGTTGAAATTGTGGTGCTTGGTTAAGGTAATGATTGTGTCATCTTTTTTTTTTTTAGAGCGGTGGCGAATTCAAAAACCCAAACTTAAAGCTTCCGTTTGAATGGCAAAAAGTGTGAATGTGGAGATATTGTGAATAAGATTTCGATTACCAAGCATCTTCCATTTATTGCTTGTGCATATGTTGTGGACTTTGAATTTTCATCGATTTTGTTGTTGTTAATGTGCGATGTTTTGTGTCGCAACATTTCGGCTTCGGAATTTGAGAGGATGTTTTTAAAAAGTAGCATTTTTTTTTATTGATGTTGTTTGGTCGTTGATGAGTATTTCTTTATATTTGAGGTCCTCTGCGCATGTCAGGAGGTGGTCGTGGATGTGTTTGGCGAAGATATCATTTGTATTAAGTGATACTTTAAAAGTACTCCAAGGAACGACCTTTTCCGTGATGCAATTTAGTAAAAAAATTCTTCTGTTACGTAAGGAGTAACTGGATAGTAAAAGCTTTTTGTAGGTGGAAATATAATGTTGCTTCTGTCTCTTTGATATAATTTCCATGTTCATCCAAAATATAGATCGACTATTGATAGGAATCCAACAAAATGATAGAAAAAAGAACAAGTAGGAAACAGCTCTTAATCTAACATGTTTCACTTTATTAAAGCTTCGTCGGAGATCAAGATAGACATGATAAAAATGTTAAAAAGCAAAGATTCGCAGATTAATATTATATTATGTTTGGTTATTTCTTAGTAGTTAGATACGTGTCACATGTTATGAAGTAACAGATAATATAATATATATAATATGTGGCAAATATTTTCGACACTAAAGTTTGTAAAAGTTAGTAAGATGCAGTAGGATGTTTCGACTGGATACGTGTTACGTGTAAAGAAGTAACAGATAAATAAGTGTAAGAAAACATTCTGGATGTTAAAGTATGTAAAGGTTTTATATATACATATATATATATATATATATATATATATATTGAACAATAAAAAATATTAAAAAATTATAAAATTAAAATCTTTAGACACACTGGGTTGTAGATTAATGTTCTTTCATTTTTTTTTATTATTTCATTTAGATTCCTATATATATATATATATATATATATATATATATATATATATATATTGATTGGATTCTAGGTTAAAATCTAAGAGAATAAAGGTTAATTTCATTTTTATGCAAAGGTTCATCGAATTTTGATACAGGAACATTATGATTGCAGAAAAGTTGTAACAGTTATCTTTTTTTAATTATTTCACACCCAAGCAAGGCAATAAAGCCTCTAAGACACGGGAGAGGTTACTGAATGCGAAAGGCTATAAGAAAGAGAAAAGTATTGTTAAGGAGCGAGAACAATAAAAGAACAGGAATTAAAAAGACAGAAGATAACGGTTGTCAAAGGTGTTTTTGAAGCAGAGTACAACAATATTTTTTTTTATCTTAGCCATTTGATCCCAAGGAAGACAACAAAGCCGCTAAGGCGCAAAGAGTATTAGAGAATATAAGAAAAAGAAAAAAAAGTATATTATCAGAGAGAGAGAGAGGGGGGGGACAATAAAAGAATAGGAATTAAGAAAACACAAGATAATGATTAAAATTGCATTTAAATTTTTGAAGAACAATCTTCACCGGGAAGCAAGAAGCCGGAAGAGAGATCCACAAGCGAGAAGTGTCAGAGAAGAAACTGTTAGCATAGAACTTACGGTTACATCTAGCCATTTCAATTGAAAAATAATGATGATATGTATAATTTTTAGTGTAGTAGGGTGCATAATGAGGAAAGAGTTCTTGGAAATTTTCGAAATACATACTGAAGACAAGCTAGACAGAGGAGAACAGCATATAACCTACCCAACGAGTTTGTTTTAAATGATTGGCAGAACAGGAATTAGGAAAGATATCAAAAAAGCAAACTTTACTAAGGGCCACAAAGGACAGGAAGTTATGGAGAGCTATGATTGCCCACGTGCGGAAGAAAAAGAAAAAGACATGTGCGGATAGCTTGAAAGTCAGGCAGCAACTGGCGTATTTAGGCGGGAAGGATTTGAAGTTGGAGGCACCCTGTAGATTTGTGATGTCAAATTGTGAGAGATTTCTTATCAATTTCTTTCAAAAGGTTGTTCATTTGTGTAACGAAAGATGTTTGAAATGCGGTGAGGATATACAGCAGTGAATATCGAATGTACAGTTGGCGCCATAACACGCTTCTGATCAGTATTTGATCTTAGAAGAGGTTGACATTTGCTAAAAAATATCTTTAATTTTGTTTCTCACCAAATTCCTATCAAGTTTTTTTTTATGGCTGGTTTAAAATAACGAGCCAATATCAAAAGTGACAAACCACACATGCGTACACATTGGGACACTCATGTATATGCATTCACAATTTCCTGTATCGGTTCGTGCTAATGCCCTTGAGGCTTACGGCCAGATCACGTTGAAACGCCAGTACAATCACCAAAGTTAAGCAACGTTGAGTCTGGTCAGTACCTCGATGGGCGGTCGTTAGACTGTATTGGAAGCGCCTTTCTTAGACCGACGGAAAGTACGCCTTTCAGCCAAACCTTTTTGTAATATCGTTTGACACAGCATATACCTTCCTTGTCAATGCACTTAATCCAACGTTTCTCTAATAATTAGATCAGCATAAATACTCAAAAGCATTCAAATTTATGTTTTTATCCTGTTTGGCGCTGAGGTTTATGGCCATATCACATTGACAAACAGGTTCCCGTACGATCACCAAAGTTACGCAACGTGGAGCCTGGTCAGTACCTTGATGGGTAACCGCTTGGGAATACCAGGTGCTGTAAGATTGGATTCGTGGGTGGTGTGATGGCTAATGGGTCGGAAGTGTGAATCGGAGATCCGAGTTCCAATTCCCGTTGGGTTCGTTATATTCACTTATGGACATATACCCTTGAGAAAAGAATGAATCCCCCCTTTTCCCCAGCTATGGGTTAATGAGTAACGATTAATATAACTAAACCATTATTATCTAAAAAAATAAATAATTACAATCTAAACATATTTTCTGCCTTTAAATAACCTGCAAAGGGTTGATAAGCCGTAAAAAATCACTCAATGAAATACCAATTAGCTACACACACGTCTTTTTGACTGATTTGCATTCTCTGGAATATAAATGTATAGAAACTATCGTGGACAAAAAGTGAGGGATCAATTTATAAATTTATTGTAATACAGAATCGATTCCCCACTTTATATTCACTTCATAATTTCTTGTTTGCTTATCAAATTTTGAATAGTTATGAATCCACCTCTTTCCCCCCAGCTATGTGTTAATTAGTAAAGACATGAATTTTCTCCCACCGCCAGGTCCAAGTTAAATAGTATGGCAAACTGAGCTCTCTAGCTTTGTTTAACAACTAGTATTTGCTAGTAGAGACGGCACTTAATTGATCCCATTTTAGAAGTACCAAGCCATATGTGATAGCAATATTCTAAGCATGGAAAAGTGATAGACTTGTAAATATGTAAGACTGAATTCTGTCGAGAAAAATTGTCTCGACACAGTGAAACAACTTTCCTAGCGGAGTTAGCAATCGATTCGATATAATGCTTCCACTTCATGCCACCAGAAAACATTGGCCCGAGAAGGCACAACGAGTCACTCGCCTGGAGGGTAGCACCAGCCCTGCTGATGACAAGCAGCAAGTGTTCTCTTAGACGATTAATAGAGAGAAGTTTCACTTTTGGAGTCGTTAACATTAACAAGCCATTTTTTGTCCGAGTTAACAACAGAATGTAGGTTAATTTTTTTTTAGATCCGTTGCCAATTTAACCTTGTCAGATCGCTCAGAGAAACTGATATTTTTTTTATATTGTATAAATATTGTGTTCTAGATGGTTTAATGTTTTAGTGTATGGAGTAATATTTTTTACAGTATAGTTTTCTGACAGATCCTCTTCTCCTTTGGTGACATCGATCAATAATTCTTCATCGTTTGATTGAGCATGAGTATTGAGTTAGATCCTGATTGGGTGTACTCTACTTATGACCTTGTGGCAAGTTTCTTACCTACCTCGGGCCCAATACCCGTTGATGTCAATAGATTTCTAAATAATCCAGGTATTATCCATAGTTGTTAAAACATAATATATTTTAACAAATATGGATAATACATACATAAGATCTGAACCCTATGTTTAACCATCTCCCGGAGTCTGGTGCTAGCCTCCAGGAAGGTGATCCATTGCGCCTTCTTGAAGGCTGGTACTAGCCTCCAGGAAGGTGATACGTTGCGCCTTCTTGAAGGCTGGTACTAGCCTCCAGGAAGGTGATCCGTTGCGCCTTCTTGAAGGCTGGTACTAGCCTCCAGGAAGTTGATCCGTTGCACCTTCTTGAAGGCTGGTACTAGCCTCCAGGAAGGTGATCCGCTGCGCCTTCTTGAAGGCTGGTACTAGCCTCTAGGAAGGTGACCCGTTGCGCCTTCTTGAAGGCTGGTACTAGCCTCCAGGAAGGTGATCCGTTGCACCTTCTTGAAGGCTGGTACTAGCCTCCAGGAAGGTGATCCGTTGCGCCTTCTTGAAGGCTAGTACTAGCCTCCAGGAAGGTGATCCGTTGCGCCTTCTTGAAGGCTGGTACTAGCCTCCAGGAAGGTGATCCGTTGCGCCTTATTGAAGGCTGGTACTAGCCTCCAGGAAGGTGATCCGTTGCACCTTCTTGAAGGCTGGTACTAGCCTCCAGGAAGGTGACCCGTTGCGCCTTCTTGGGCTAAAGTTTTCCTCATCATCATTATTGTTGCAGGAGAAAGAATTTTGGTTTGGATAATTTTGTTTAGCGGTATATCAGCCTCTATAAGTTATTTAATACCGAAATCTAAATATTATAAACACAATTTTATGGATTCAACTAAATTTATTTTGAACGTAGTTGTATGCCTTGAAGTACAGATAAAATGTATTGTTGGTCATTTTGTTATAAAATGTATTGGTAATTTTATTAGAAATATGTATTGTTGCTAATTTTTTTATATAAAAATGTATTGCAGGAATTTTTACTATAAAAATGTATTTTTTATACTTTCAGAGTGTTTTATTTTTGTTTGGAGCCTCACTATTTATCCATAGTTGGGATTCTAACAGGTTCTACGATCCCGGGCCAGGGGTGAGTCTGGGAAAAACAGCAATTAAGAGGTAGTTCCATGCTCCTCAAAACTTCCAATCTTCAGATCAGTGGCCTTACTGACGGATGTAGTTTAACGTCATAGTAGAAAATATATATATATATATATATATATATATATATATATATATATATATATATATATATATATATATAGAGAGAGAGAGAGAGAGAGAGAGAGAGAACCTAAAATAGAAACATTGGATTCATTTTAGCCTGTACATTTTTGAAGGGGGTTTGCTTGACAGCGACCGGACCAGTGAGTGATTGAAAGTCTTGGGTGTGTTCAAGTCTAGGTTTAACGTTTTCTTCCCTACATATCCTTATAAACTGCACCCCTTACCGCTTACTCTGTAACCCTCTACCTCGAGTGGATCTTGGGCCTTGCGCAGGGTGAACATTATTATAAAAAACAGTCTTTCGCTATCTCTCGCGGTTTGCCGATAAGGTCTCTGGCTCTTGTCTAGGCTAAGCCACTAATTCTGTGATCCTACGATAGTTTCGCTTTAGGATTCTTCTGGACACACCATGTTACCATATTTCCAAGTAGGAGAGTGGTATGTGGGGTTTCAGCCCATTAAAAAAAAAAAGAATCGACTTAGTGTTAAATTAACTAAAAAGAAGAGGTCATTCCGTTCAGCAAAGTTGACGTGGGAGAAAAGATAGAACATCCCTGGTATCAATGACAGGTCCGGGTTAAAATTATTTATTGCCAAGACATTATTTTTAATCGGTTTTAATTTAGATAATCTGAGCATTTCATTCCACTTACTTTGAAAACGTTGGAAAGCCAGCAGCTATATCGGCAAAGAAAAAAAAAAAAAAAGAAAAAGTCGAGAAAATACGAGGTTTCCACCACCGAGCGGGTATCCCCTGAAATTATATCGTGGGTGGATCAGCAGATATTTATAGCAATTAACCTGTTTAGTAAAGATCAATAAAAATTACACACACACAAAAAAAACTAGAACGGAGGAGAAAAATCTTATTTCAATTTATTGGAATTTAAATTCGATAGCGTAGTTTTTTTATCGATACTGCTGATTTTATTGACTGCGGGGTCATGGAGCACACTGGAATAACGCACGCACAAAAACTCGTGACGCCTGTAAATACCGGGTTTTTCCTTAACACACTCATTCAGAAAGGCGCATGCGCGAGGGTACACCTACTCACCTTCCTATGATTCGTGAATACAGGACTTGGTATACGTGTGATCGAGTTATGGACGAATTAAATTCTTCTGGTCCGATATTAAAGTAATTTCGCTTTCAAAATCCAGAAAGAAAATTTTAACTCCGCCTTTTCCATCAGAGGCATTTATCTTCATTGAAGCTGAAGAAGGATAATATATATATATATATATATATATATATATATATATATATATATATATATATATATATATATATATATATATATACACATACAGGGTGATTGAAAAGTAACTCCCTATTTTATGTATGATGTATTCTCCTGTCTAACTATAATTTTTACAAGACAGGAGAGTCCATCATATGAAAAATAGGGTGTTACTTTTCAATCACCCTGTAGGTTCAATTCAGCGACATTTCAATTTATTTTCATACCTAACTCATAAATATATGACTCTGAACGCTTATTTTTTGCCCACTCAAAAAATAATTAAATATATAGAAACTGAAAATTATCTATCTATCTATATATATATATATATATATATATATATAAAAATAAATATATATATATATATATATATATATATATATATATATATATATATATATATATATATATATATATATATATATATATATATATATATAAAAATAAATAATATATATATATATATATATATATATATAAATAAATAATAAAATATATATATATATATATATATATATATATAAAAAATATATATATATATATATATATATATATATATATATATATATATATATATATAAAAAAAATAATATATATATATATATATATATATATATATATATATATATATAAAAATAAATATATATATATATATATATATATATATATATATATATATGCACTACAGTTGAAAAGTTTAACGCTACCCTGGTAATTTTTAAAATTGGCACAAAATGTAGTTGTTTTGTACTTTAAATAAGAAAAAATTATTATACATGATTAAGATGTGGGACATGATTTTTTTTTAGAAATATTATAAACGCAAAAAGTAAAAAAGTATTTCATTATTAAATTTTGCTCTCGCTAAAAACATCCTCGTTTAGCCTTGATTACTGCAGCACTAATCTTTGGCAGTCGTCGCTAAAGTTTCTCAAAGTATAAGTTTGATAACTGATTACATTCTTTTTTCAATGACGCTAAGAGCTCTTTTTAATCTTTTCGGATGTAAAGGTTTCACTTTTTTCTCTCAAGTTCATTTCCTGCTAATTCTGGGGTTGGCTTCATACTTTTGAATTGTAGTATATATATATATATATATATATATATATATATATATATGAAAAAATATTAGAAAGATTCTGTACAAAAACTTATTGTATAGACTAAAATGAGAATTCTAAAAAAAAGGCACCTAATATTTAATATAGTGTTATTAATTTATAATATATGAATTTTTACAGAGAAAAATTAAAACTTTGTTACTTACAATTGGATTTTTATTGTATTTTCATCACCAAC